CCCCGCCCGCCGCGGGTTCCGACGCGGGACTCCGGGAAGCTCAGGTGCGGACGGCAGCGCGGAGGCGGCGCGCCCGCCGTGCTGAGCTGACCCGGCGAGTGGAGCTGCCAGGTAAGGGGCTGGCGGCCCGGATGGAGGGACAGAGGGCGGTGACCCGCGTGCCGGCTGTGACCGCCCATCGCACCTCCCCCGCGCTCCGCCCGCAGTGCGCTCGTCCGGGGGACGCTTGCGGCCGGGAAGGTGCGGGGAGGTCCCGGGACCAGCGGTCCCTGAAAGGGGTGTTGTACCCCGAGGCGTCTGGTGCTTTGCTTTGTTTTGTTTTTGACGCCTTCCCGCTGTACAACCAACTACGTATCCCATCTCCCCACTAGGATGGTTAGTGGGGCTCTCGGTGTCTGAGCAGCACCCTTGTTGCTACTTCCCTGCCCTCTGTCTGCAAAAAAAAAAACAAAACAAAACCTGATGCCGTCTAACCCCTCTCAGAAACTGGGAAGAATGCTAGGTCGCTGCAGCAGAGGAAGAGCTACAGAAATCAGGGCCTTTGGAACTGGGCTTGGACACTCGTTACTTTTAGGCCTATCTTTGTCCATTTTCTCTGTCCGGCTTCATTCTGCAGAACAGAATTCTTCATATGCCCAAGAAGGTGGCCATCCGCAGCCAGCTTCACATACGTCCAGGTCAGAAGCACCAATGAAGAGAGTTTCTTTCCCCACAGTCTACATATTCATATCGTGTAAGGAAAGTGAGGCTTCTTTGCCGTAGTTAAGTCATGCCCTCCTTGATGCAGGGACATAAAGTACTCTAATTGGCCATCTTGTGCCCAAGAGAGTATAGAGATTGTCGCCCTCCTCTAGAACCACGTGGAGGCCAAAGGGCCGGATCCCCAAAGGAAAGCATTAGCATGACCTGGGAGCCTGTTAGAAATGCATAACCTCAGTCTCCAGCTCAGAATCAGACTCTGCGTTTTAAGAAGATCTGATGCAATTCATACACAATAAAAGTTTGAGATGCACTTTCTGAATAATTATTTTACCCCCTTATGGGCCAATAATTACATGACTTCAGCTATTTTGGATGGAGACTTCTTAAAAATGTTTATATAGGTGAAGCATTACCTATATCAAGTTCCAAATGTGCAGCTTGAATATAAAGTGCTGTAGAGAGAGGCCTGGAGCATTCAGGACAGGCTTTGGGGAAGGAAAGTAGCCTAGGCCTAGGAGGAAGGGCATGTCAGTGGTGTGTTCACTGGGCAATGAGAAGCCAGGTGGCTTGAATGATGAATCCTAAAGGAGAGTCAGGGGTCAGATTATGAAGCACTTCTGCTACATTGTTAAAGTGACTGATTCTCCACTGCCTACAGGGTAAAGTTTATTGGAAGAGGAGAAGCCAAAGGCAATAGGACCAATGAGGAAGCAGTTGTAATAGCTCAGGTGAGACAGACATGCCTGACCTAAAGCAGTGGTCACAACTATGGGGAAAAATGCCTTGGAGGGATATTCTAGAGGAGGAAGGGACAAAGGTTTAGAAGAGGCCAGGAATGGGGAGAGAGTAGTCACTTTAATTTGGAAATATAGGGGATGAAGGCAGGTTGGGGTAGAAGAGAATGAGTGGTTTGGATTGTTGAGTTTGAGAGCTCCACACAGAAAGCCATCAAAAGGGCACTTGGATGTGGAGGAGAGCTGTGGAGAAAGGTCATGGCTGGTGATACAGAAAAGCTTGTTTCCAATTTGGTAAACTAAAAAATGAGTAGCTGTTACTTTATCCTATTTGACTTGCAGACATTTTTGTTGTATGAAGTTGAACATGGCAGAAGAAGAGGATTATATGTCTGATTCCTTCATTAATGTCCAGTAAGTAAAAGTGTACACCTCATGGAATGATCTGTATAAGACATTAATGTAGACTTTTAAGCAAAGACATTGACTTTAAATGTGAGGTTAGAAAGTTAGTCGTTGCTTTATGGGAACACTGTCTGCTTTTCCATGCCTCTTCCCTTTCAGTGCTAAGCATTTTACTTCTGCCCCCGATTCTTTTTATTCCCATCTTCCAAGGAAATGTACCCTTTTATTTCACCTTACTGTCTCTTCTAGCTACTATTCAGCTTCGCTCATTATTGTTCCCAACCGCCTAGAAAAATTAGTCAAAACTTACTTTTTTCTAATTTCTTCAACTGTATACTTTCTTTAGTTTCCCACAGTCTGGCAACAACCATCGTCGTTTTTACTAAAACAGCCATTCTCGGAGGTCACTCGTTATGTTCTAATATTGATGATAACAAAGATGTTAAGAGAGGCAGCACTGAAATGCGAAGTAGTGTCAAGCGAGTATCCGAGTCATGAGAAAACTCCACATACTCGTCTAAAACAACCTTTTCCCTTGTTCTTCAGAGAAGATATCAGACCAGGATTGCCAATGCTGAGGCAAGTTCGAGAGGCCCGCCGAAAAGAAGAAAAGCAACAGGAAGCTAATTTGAAAAATAGGCAGAAGAGTTTGAAAGAGGAAGAACAAGAAAGACGTGACATTGGGTTGAAAAATGCACTAGGCTGTGAAAACAAAGGGTTTGCTTTGCTCCAGAAGATGGGCTATAAAAGTGGTCAGGCCCTTGGCAAGAGTGGTAAGTCACATCCAGAAATAAAAAGGTGTTCTAACCACCAAATGGTGGTCCATCCATGGGTACCAGAGATGACTCTTTAATCTTATTCATCTACACAGAAATTAAAGCAACTTAAGCTTTCATCTTCCCACACCCACTTTGTACAATCATCGAGAGCTGCTTATCAGCCCAGCTCAGCCTTGCAGTCACTAACAACTGGGGTGGACAAAGCTTATAATGGAGGCAACAGCTAACAGTGGCCAAAGGATAGTGAAACAACGTTGAGGACCATGTCAGGACTCTGCCCTGTTTGCTCTGTACCTGTAGCAGCTGCCAGAGTGCTACACCAGTTGGAGAAACTCCATTCTCACCTCTCTTTTTAGGAAGTGAGACTATTAAGATGTAGAGGCCATATATTTAAAGTAGCTTCTGTAAACTCTTTTACTTTTCTCCTTTATTGTAATTGACTTAATTTAGGACTGTCACCCTTTTGAATGTTTAATATTAGTTTTTCACTTTTTTTTTTTTTATTGATTTCAGAGAAAGGAAGGGGGGAGAGAGAGAGAGAGACAGAAATATCAATGATGAGAGAGGCATTGATTGACTGCCTCCTGCATGCCCCCCACTGGAGATTGAGACGGCAACCCGGGCATGTGCCTTGACCGGGAATTGAACCACGATCTCCTGGATTCTAGGTCAATGCTCAACCGCTGAGCCACACCAGCCGTGCATCAGCCTTGTTGAGAACTAGGTATTCAAAAGGCGGTAATTGATTATACAGTGTTGGTGTTCAGATTTCAGTTTGAATATCATTGAAAGAGGTGGGGATCTGTATGGGACACTGTAAAGTTGCATATTATGCTTCCCTGTAGTTTGAGGAAGAATTTCTAAAGTAGCTTGTGATTTGTTCTCTTTTTATAGGAGATGGTATTGTTGAACCAATTCCTCTCAAAGTCAAAACAGGTAAGTAATTATTTTTAGGGATATTTACCAGTAATAATAACTTATGTTTATGTCTAGCACATATATTTGCTTAATAAGTACTTTTTGATGGTGGTACTGTTACAGTTTTTATCATTGGAGGCCTTCAGTAAGATGTTTCTTAGTTAAACTTTTAAGCCTTTTAAAATAAAAATAAGTTTTAGTGAGTATAAAATAAAATTTATATCATAAAAAATATGGGGAGAAATTGTTGTAACCATTAAAAATGCAATTGAAATGTTCTGAAAGTATTCTGAGACAGATTTTATCCATTAAAATTTTTTCTTAAATATCAGGGGGATTACTTTTATAAAGTATATGATTGTCTAACCGTTATGCTATATATCTAAAACTAATACAAAATAATATTGAATGTAAACTAATTGCAAAATAAAATTTAAAAATAAATGTTTTTCTTAATACTTTGAATGAATTAAAGAAAAAATATTTTGTTTGTTCATATTTATATGAAAATATGACTGTTGGTGGTGTTCTCCCAATTGAAAAAAAATTGTACAGTATTACTATCATGTTAGCTCAGACTAACAATGATCTTTGTGAAAATCAAATTGTGTGTTTGGAGTTTAAAAAAAAAATCTCTAGTGTTTTCTCCTGTCATTCTTGTCAAATGATTTTGAATGATTGTACTCAAGTTACAACTGCACTTAATTTGTATTTAAATTGTCATGTTTTGAAATGTAAAGTCAGTAAGTTTCTCATCAGAGTTGTCTGTTTGAACAGGAAAAAGTGGCATTGGTCATGAGACATTATTAAAACGAAAAGCAGAGGAAAAATTAGAAAGCTACAGAAGAAAGATTCACATGAAAAACCAAGCTGAAGAAAATGCTGCAGAACAGTTCCGGTAAAACTTTGTATTTGAGCTGCTTTTGGTTTCATCTTTTCTTCAGTGTGGTATGTTTTCTGTCCCTTGGGCATATAAAATGGATAGAGAATACAGACCTGTAATGTGCTATTTTTTCTTTCAAATAGAATGCGACTTAAAAATAAGCAAGATGAAATGAAGCTAGAAGGAGATCTTAGGAGAAGCCAGCGAGCCTGTCAACAGTTGGATACGCAGAAGGCAAGCCTTTTTCCTGCTTTCAGTGAAGTGTTTTGGCACCCAGTGTGATTTTCCATGAATTTATATTTAAACAAAACATTCCAAGTCTGGTATACTTAGTCTTCTACTGATTAAAGCAGCAATTTTCAATCTTTTTCCATCTCATGGCACACATAAACTAATTACAAAAATTCTGCAGCACATCAAAATATATATTTTTTGCCAATCTGACCAAAAAAAGGTACAATTTTGATTGGTTTACAAGAATAATAATAATCATAGTAATTACCTACCCTTTTTGCTCCAAAGTGACTTTTTAAAAAATCAGATGCCTATTATATATACCTGTATATAAGGATTTCTGGTGTTAAGAGTTAACCATTCAGATGCAACCTTATTATATGACATTACCAGTAAGGTGCAACTCTGTTTTACGACCTATATATTTATGGTTCAAGACAGGGCATTCACACTGGACGACTATTGTTGTGTTGGCTGTTGTCATTTTTTTATTTGACAATCTTAAGGGAAAAAAGGTCAGTGTCCCTGACTAAATAGTCAAGTATTGCATGTTTTAAAATTTTTTGCAGCACACCACTTGAAACTCACTGAATTAAAACTTTCATTTAACATATACTACTCACAGTAATGACTTGTTCATGGTAGGAGCTTGAGTACTTTGAATTATCCAGTAAGGGTTAAGTAGTATTTTTACATTTACTGGTTCTCTGCTTGTTTGAATATTTGTTACTCAGAGGTGGAAAGTCTATTCACCAGAATATCTGACTAACCAGAATAGCCTATTTTCAGTCCATGTTCAGTACCTCATGTGTTTCTCTAGCTACTAATATTATTGTAGAATAATATCTTTCAGATTTGAAGGATTTTTTTTTATTTCTGTCATTGCTTTTATTTTTTATTTTGATGGTTCAAATAAAGTGTCTCCACTTAAAGTCTCAAAATTGCGCCTTGGCCAAGTAGCTTAGCTGGTTAGAGCATCATCCCGATACACCAAGGTTGCAGGTTGCAGGTTCGATCCCTGGTCAGGAAATATACAAGAATCAACCAATGAATACTTATAAATGAGTGGAACAACAAATGAGTATCTCTGTCTTTCTCCCTTCCTCTCTAAAGGGAGCAAAAAGGGTAGGTAATTACTATGATGATGATTATTTTTGTAAACCAATCAAAATTGTACCTTTTTTTGTCAGATTGGCAAAAAATATATATTTTGGTGTGCTGCAGAATTTTTGTAATTAATTTATGTGTGCCATGAGATGGAAAAAGATTGAAAATTGCTGCTTTAATCAGTAGAAGACTAAAAATCTTCTCTAAAAATCAATTAAATTTTTTTTAAGTCTCAAAATTGTTTGTAAAAATTTTACTATCTTTAAATATATTGCCAGGAGCAATCTCTCACTTTTATGTTTCCCTAGCACTTTATTTTGAATGTATCTCATGACTCTTAAGATTTCCTAGCTTATATGTATTATTTTATACCCATTAAGTTACTTATGCCCATAGCTTATTTTCCCTACTAGACTGTCAGCAACTTGGAGACAATACAATATTCTAATTGGGCCCTCACCAGTGTGGCTCGGTTGGTTAAGAATCATGCACCAAAAGGTGGGGGGTTTGATTCCTGGTCAGGGCACATACCTAGGTTGAGGGTTTCATCCCTCGTAGGGGCGAGTATGGGAAGGCTATCGATTGATCTCTCTCTCCTTTCTCTCCCTCTTTTTCTCCCTCTCTCACTCCCTTCCCTTCCTCTAAAAATCAATAAGCATGTCCTGGAGTGAGAAGTAAAATATATATCTATTCTAATTGAGCTTTGCATCCCCAGAGTTCGTAGTACAGTGCTTTACTCTTAAAGCTGCACTCAGTAAATATTTAATTAAAAGAACGAATTCATGTTGACGTGGACACACTGGTGACAGTCTCATGCTTAGCTGTGTTTAATTGGGCATAATTCTTCATTTTCAGAATATTCAGGTTCCCAGAGAGGCCTGGTACTGGCTGAGGCTTGAAGAGGAGACTGAAGAAGAGGAAGAGGAAGATGAAGATGAGGATGAGGATGAGAGTGAAGATTTAAGTGTATGTTTTGGTACCATTTTCTTGAGCTGGGTGCCTCAGCACTGGCACTGCTGACGCCTTGAGCCGGGTAATGGTTTGTCATAGGGTGCTGTGCTGTGCATTGTAAGGTATCTAGCAGCATCCCAGGCCTCCACCCACCAGATGCCTGTTGCACTTCCCCTTTCTGACAGCCAAAATATCTCCAGGGATTGCAAAATGTCCTCTGAGGGCAGCAGTCACCCCTTGTTGAGAACTACATGTTATAGGGTTATTAACCCTGAATCAAAACTTCGTATAATTTTTCCCTTTAGCTTCGGTTTACCCTCTTCACCTTGGCCTCAGTGTAGATGATGGATTAGCTGCAAATGTAAACTATTTTCATTTCTACCTAGTTTCCTGTTAAATTTCTCGAAGTGATTCTCATGAGTACCTCTCACCCCCACCCATAAACAAGACAAAACAAAACTCAATTCAAAGGAAGGTGGAGATTACTAAAGAAATGAATACACATTTCTGTGGTTACATGTATATCAGAGTTTTGTAGGAAACATTCAAAATTTGAAAAACCTATATTCCATTTAAATGGGAGACCACTGAAGAGAACTTTAATGGTGTCGGGAGGCAGTGTCACCCTCATCCCACTGGGGAAAGTAGATTCTTTGAAAGCAGAAGTGGTCTTTAAAGGATCCTAATAGTGCCAGCCAAATTCTGTTTTCTGAATGTTAACGAGTGGTCTCTGTTGTGTCTGGCAGACTTGTGAAAACATCAGGATGGTTGGTCAACTGGGACACGTTCTAAAATGCTCTTTCACACCTCTCCTAACTGGTTGAGAGTGTAGGGGAAGATTTATGGCCTTGGGCTAATTCAGCTTGATCCAAGAGACCAGGAAACCCAGATGCTTTTCAATGGGAACCATTCATGTGTTTATGTCCTTTACCTAGGTACTGGACAAATTACAGATATTGACTAGTTATCTAAGAGAAGAACATCTGTATTGTATTTGGTGTGGAACAGCCTATGAAGGTAAGAAAATATTTTAAACTTCTTTAAAATTTTGAATACAAATGCTCTTTGATTTTTTTTACTTTTTTTTTTTTTATAAAAGTCACATTTCCCTTAATTGAAATTTCTTATTCAATCCAAAAGGTAATGTGGAATCAATATCTTAAACAGTAGATATAGAAATAACTGAGGCCTTATTAAAGGTGTTTTTAAACTTTTTGGAAACCATGTGCAGAAGGGAATTTTTCAGTCTTTTATTTCAAAAGAAACGTTTTGAATCACTTAAGGATAAATTTTTTTCATGCTTTATTTTTAGAGTCGTAAGTTACAGATACTTGAAAGCTATATTAAATTTTTAGAATTATTATATATTGTCCCTGAACGATAAAAATCAGCATGTTGAAATCCACTCCTTTTACTTTTTTATTGTAAGAAAGAAATGGTTTAAAACTTGCCATATGTCTTATAGAGCCAAGTGCTTTCCCTTCTAATACATGAGCCCATGCAGGCTTTTCCCAGTTTAACAATAGGAGCAAACACAACTACAAAATCCATGTTATGTTGAAATAATTTTCTGGAATAGTTTATTATAAGAGTCTTTTACTTTTCTCATGTAAATTACAGATAAAGAAGACCTGTCTTCAAATTGCCCAGGACCAACTTCTGCAGATCATGACTAAGATTATTGTCAATAAAGTAGAAACTTGGAAAATGCTGTTGCCAGATGTTTTGTGTTTTGTTTTTTTTGTACTTCAGAAGTACTTTGTACTTTAGACTATAATTGTCCACTGACTTCAATAAAAGAATGGACTATTTCAGAACACAAGTACGAGAGACATGGGCCATTACAATTTATGGCTCTATTGTGATGCTTATGGAGTTTAAGGACACCAACAGGTAACTCTCTTACTCCCCTCTTCACTTTGGAACAAACTGAGAAATAAGACTTGGGAGTCAGATATCCAAATACCAGCTTTCTTGTCAGTGAAGCTGAAACAGCAAGGCTGGCTTGTTGTCCAGTCAGGCTCCCTGATAAATCTGCCTGATTGGAGAGAACTGCAGGCCTCTGCCTTGCAGGGGCACAGCTCATCTCTGCATTCCGAGACCAGTCAGCTTTCTAGGTGAGGGAAACCACCAAGGTCTGGGCCAGACAGGCTAAGTTCCTTCTCCCAAAATCACTCATCAGATAAGACACCCCTCTGTTGAGAGGGACTGAATGAGGGTCCACAGAGCTTACTCCCACACTTCTCAGAGCTCACTACCTTAAAACAGACTGTTCCCTTGCTGGGTAGCTCTAAGCAATTTTAAAGTTATTTTTCTGTCTTAAGCTGAAATCTGCTTCCCTATAATTTAACTGAATACAGCTAAGCACATTCCGTGGCACACCTACAGAGCTCCTTCCAAGATTGGGCATCAAAATTATGAACTTTTTTTAACATTCACAAGTTCAGGTGCCTCCCCCAGTGATTCTGATCAGCTGTTCTAGGGTAGCTCCTGGATATGCGTACTTATTTTAAAGTTCTAAGAATGAGTCTGATGAGCACCTTGGGTGAGCTCTGATGCTGTAGGTTAAATACAGAGCACCACTGTTCTTGGGATAGAGTTGTGGCCTCACCTGTACAGTTTTACCTCTCACCTTTCAGGCGCATTGAGCAAGAGGTCAGCCTCTTCTCTTTATTAGAAACAGCATACCCAAGAACAGCAAAAGCTATGTTACACAGACACAAGCTAATCAATAGCACTTGTTCTAGCTCTTACCTAGCATGACCTACTTCACTTGTCCTCAAGTTGAACTTGGGAGCTTTAAAAATACAAGGATCCCACCACCAGAGAATCTGATGTAATTGGCCACTGGGGCCTTGGCCTCACTACCCTTGATTCTAAGATGCAACAGAGCTTGAGAACCATTAACCTGGTTAACTTCTGGGCTTCAGTTCTTCATCCAGAACAGGAATCATTTTTATGAATATAAGTACATATATAAAATATGGGGGGAAAGGGGAAACATCTGTAATAGTGTCAACAATAAAGTAAAAAAATATATATTGGGGAGTTTATATAGTTGAATAATGATGCTGAATACTCACTTGTTTCATTTAAAAATGATAAAATTATGTTCATAGCTAAAACAAAGGAGTACATCTTTCCCTTGGATTTATAGTCAAATCCTTTCCTGTCATTTCAGCCAACATACATACCAATATTCATTAGGTCAATCCCAAAGTCATGTGGATTGTTTCACATGCAGTAGTCAGGAACTGGCTTCCTTTTCTCCTCTGACTATGGGGACAACCCACCACCTCCCCCGTGTCCTAGAATATTCTGAGTATGTTCAGAATAATTATGCTGAGAATGGGAATAACCTTTATGGGACCCATGACTCCACCAGAGGGTGGCCTGCATTTCCAGCCTAGGTCTGCCTTGGAGAGTGGGAGACATCCCACCATTCTTATCCATCAAACGATACATCCATCAACAGTTAAAAACAAAGGATTTCAACGCAAGTAAAAACATTTTTACTCATAGAGGCCTTTTATGAGCTCATAACTAGACAATAATGAAAACCAAGGGAAGCAGAACATTGAAAATAATCTTTTAATTTTTAGAACATTTAAGTAAAATTTGAAACACAGATTTTTAGTTATGTTGTCATTTGCCTTTGTTTACACTGTGCTGTCGATATTGTCCTACCAACAATTTCTAAAATATTTCATTTTCCTAATTTTAAATCCTAAATACCTCAGTATAGCAAACTGATTTGCCTTACAGACCTTCACTTTAAGTGCTATTTGCCAAACATTTAATGGTTGAAAATTTAAAGTGAACATTCTTTAGTATTAGATACATTTTGTAAGTTCAAGCATGTGAAATTAACACTTACTCCCCACCAATTCAAAAGCAGTAATATAGCTACTGCTTTATGCAGGGCATTAAATCACAGTTCTGTACGAGTTAACAGCCACTTGGGAATAGCTGAACTCTGAGGCAAACTGGTAAGCACAATACTGAGGTACTAGGCAGAAGTTTCATTCTGCGTGGGAGATGGTGGGACACTGTGGCAGTGGCACTGAATTTAGGTTCCAAATATAACTTTGATATGCAAAGTAATGAGGAAGGAGTTACAGTATGTCCCAGCATTTCCACTCTTAGGTACATGCCCAAGGAAAGTAGAAACACGTCCACATAAAACCTGAACACAAACATTCATTGTAGCCTTGTTCACAATAGCGGGAAAGGGGAAACAACCCAAACGTCCATCAATTCATGAATAACTAAAATGATACATCCAATAAAAAATACTGATCCATGCTACAACCTGGGTGAACCTTAAAAACATTACACGAGGTGAGTAAGACCACATACTGTATGATTCCATTTAAATGAAATGTCCAGAATGGGGAAATCCATGGAAATAGAAAGTAGATTAGTGGTTGCCTAGAATTGGGGGGAATGAGGAATGACTGCTAATGGGCATAGGGTTTCTTTGGGGGCCAACAAAAAATGTTTTAAAATTGATTGTGGTCATAATTGCACAACTCTGAATATATGAAACATCACTGAACTGTATTCTTTAAATGGGTGAATTACACAGTATGTGAATTATATCTTAATAAAGTTGCTATTTTTAAAAAGTTGAAGGGAATTTCAGGTAGAAACCATAGCACAGAGCCATTGAGTACAAAAGCCTATTCAGGTAACTGAGAGCCAAGCAGTGTGGCTGGGGCATGTGTCATGGAATGGGAGCCTCCAGAGGGGCACAGCCCTGCCAGCACCTTCACTTTAGCCCAGTGAAACTTACTTCAGAGTTTCTCTACAAGAAAAAAAAGATATATATATATATGTATATGTGTGTGTGTGTATATATATATATATATACACACACACACCACACATATAAAAATATATATATATACACATTTATTTATATATATTAAGCCACCAAATTTGTAGTGTAACAGCAGCCGTAGGAAACTAGTATCAGTCCCAATCAAATTAACCTGAGAGGATCCACAAATATTTGGGAGTGATTTCATTTGCCTCACAGTTTTACCTATTACACAGGTTTTTGGAGTGGTTTTTTTTTTAATCCTCCCCTGAGGATATTTTTTCCATTGCTTTTCAGAGAGAGTGGGAGAGAGAGAAACATCGACGTGAGAGAGACACATCGATTGGTTGCCTCCCACATGTGCCCCAACCAGGGCTGGGGATCGAGCCTGCAACCAAAGTACGTGCCCTTGGCCAGAATGGAACCCGGGACTCTTCAATCCCAGGGCCGATGCTCTAGCCACTGAGCCAAACCAGTCAGGGCTATTACAGTTTTTAGTTAAAGTTTTAGCCAATAGTGGGGCCACTGTCCAGCTGTGACCTGTAGTCCCTTCTCCTGAGGCCATTCTGGGGAGCTGTAGGGCTGAGACAGACCCAGGCAGATTCAGAATCACAGGCCGTAGGGGCTGGGTTGCCAGGCGAGTGAATCTAAATGAGACGTCTGCCAGCCAGGCTTTGCTCCTTCCCTCTTCCTCTAGAATATCTCCCCCGGCCCCGCTGGATTCAAAGTGAAGCGTCAGGGGTTACTCCACATCACTTGTGTATGGTCCCAATCTGTCCCTTCTTCCGAGTCCCTGCCCTGCGGTGTGCTCCACACCTGCCCCTGAGTATCCTGGCAGCACCCCAAACTTGGTATCTCCAAGTGATATCCACATTTTACCTCCCAAATGTTCCCCCCCATGTTGGCAGATGCACAGTGGCCCCACTATTGGCTTAAATTCTAACTAAAAACTGTATACGAGGTACAACTATGAGACAAAATCTCTCTCAAACACGTGTGGGTCTTTGGGGGTTTAATTTGATGGAAACCTGTATTTCCTTCAAGGCCATCATATTCCTGCCCCTCACCTTCAAACAAACCTGGAGGCAATCTCGGATGCTGACCTTTTCCTAAATTCTCACATGCAATCAGTTGCCAAGTCCTCTTGGTTCTGTCCCCTCCTATCGGTCAGGTCCTCTTAGCCTCTCTGACTTCTCTGACTTTCCGAATAAAGTCCCTTCCTGCTCTAAACAATTCTAAATACACTGTGTCAAAGTACCAGTTGGATCACATGCCTGCTTAAAAAACAAAAATCTCATTTGTGACCTTTGGAGGTTGCTAGGGCACCGACACATTCTAAATTAATGTTAAATATTTTTCCCACCTTTCCCATTCAGCCTTACGGAAAAGTTCTTTATGGAAGAATCACAGATGATAAATGCAAGAGGTGTGACAGAATCCAAAAACTCACTATTTGGTAATCCCTAATGAAACAACGGATCCAGACAGCATTCATCAATGGCTGCTAAAGCCAATAGGTGAAAGGCTGATAGGAAGCCTTGGACACCACCACGAACCACTGATCAATCTGAAAATTACCCAAAGTGGAACCACCAGACATTAGGTTCCTTCCAAAGTGATGCAAAAGGAAGCATACAGTATCACCTCTGCAGTATTCCTGGGGGAAAAGTTTTAAATCAGAATCAAATCAAGTTTCTCAATCTAACTAGACACCATGGGGATACCAGAAGCCATATCCTAAATGGAGTAACTTCTACATGATATATATTCCAGTTTCTTCCTCAAATAAATGCCAAGAGGAAAGAAACTAGAAACAAGGGCAAATGTTAGAGAGTAAAAGAGACATCAGCTAAATGCAGTGTTGGATCCTGATTGAAACAACCTGTAGAAATATTTTTGCGATAGGAAAACTGAATGCACGCGGAATGATTGTATAATCAAAAACACCTTATTTTGTTGAGTGACAATGAAATTGTGGTTTTGTTAAAATTAAAAGGATCTTATCTCTTAGAGATTAAGATCATTTTTAAGTATTTAGAAGTGAAATGACATAATGCCTTAAATTTGCTTTAAAACACTCTAGCAAAAGTTTTTAAAAAGGGAGTAAATATATTCTCTACATATATCATACATAGGGATAGATATATCTTTCAAAATCCCAGTTATCTGTGTGTGCATTTTATTAATTTGCAAATAAGGCCCCTGGCCTTTGCCCCTCTCCTCCTCTGATTAAGAGGATACATTCTATTTATCATCATTTTGAGGCTGAGAAAATATATACTCACAAATAAAAACTTCCAAGAGATAGTACAAATATTAAAATGAGAAGGTAAAAAATAAGGCTACCTTCTTTTGAGTAGAGCATTATTCATTATATCCAGATAATATCCAAAATTCACTATTTTTAAAAAAGATTTCTTTCCTCCAGGAAAAATTTCAAACCTACAAAAAAAGTTCAAAGAATATGACTTCTATACCCTCTATCTAGATTTGTCAATAGTTCAATTGTTAAATTTTACATTTGCTTTCTTTCTCTCTTCATGTACACATTGATTTTTGCTGAGCATTTGAAAGTTGTAAACATCATACCACTTCACCCCTAGATACTCCTGCAGACACTGCCTAGGAATAGACATTTTTCTGCATGGCCACAACATGATCACACCTAAGAAAATTAATAATTATTCTATGTCATCTAATATTGCATGCCTCTTGCCCAGACTGCCCATTTGGTCTCCTTTCTTTTTCTTTTTTTTAATATCTTTATTGATTTCAGAGAGAGGAAAGGAGAGGGAGAGAGAGAGACAGAAACGTCAATGATGAGAGAGTCATTGATCGAGCCCGCAACCCGGGCATGTGCCCTGACCGGGAATCGAACCCTGATCGCCTGGATCCCAGGTCAACGCTCAACCGCTGAGCCACGCCCGGCCGGGCTGGTCTCCTTTCTACTCATGTAAATCCCTAGTTAGAGTGTCACTTGTAAGCCCTGTGCTGTTATACTTAAGTAGAAAGTGATCTCACTATTTTCTATGTTTAGCTATTGCCTTATGGCACAGTTATCATGTCTTTAAAAGTGTTAGAATAGATACAAAATGTATTTAAGATAAAAAAATAATAACTGTATAGTGAACGCTAGGGGATTCAACATCCAGTTTAAAAAGGTTAGCTGTACCTCTGAAGCCCCCTTCCCCAGTCACATCACTGCCGTCCCTCCTCAGAGACAACCACTATCAGAATTTAATATTCCTCATACATTTCCTTCCCTTTATAGTTTTACCACATTTGCTTGGATTCCTAAACAAAATGATTTAATTTAGCATGTTCTGGAACTTTATATAAATGGATTCTGTATATGTTTTTTGTAACCTGTTTTGTGGCTTACATTGTTTGTGAGAGACGTATCATGTTATTACACTGGGTTGTCATTCATTCATTTTCACTGTTCTCTAGTATTCCAATGTGAATATAATACAATGTACGCATCCACTTTTCTCTTGATGGACATTAGTGTTGTTTTCTGTTCCTTTGACCTTTACAAGCAAGATTTCTAGGAACATTCTTGTAGGCATGTATGTAGGAATGGAACTGATGACTTTCTGGTATATATACATTTACCTTCACTAGAAACAAACTGTTTTCCAAAGCAATTGTATGTAAATTATCTTTTTATGGTTACAATTTTTCTCCAACTGGCTTCTTATTTAAAACAAGAGCTTATAGTTTTGGATAAAAATAGTAGACATTTAATAAATATTGATTAATTTATAGATAAACTGAGGAATTTTTTCCCTCCCATCTCATAATAGGGAGATGAGCTGGAAAAAAGTCAAATGTAAAACTGTTTCTGAAGTTAAAAAGTGCAGCCCTGCCCTGGCCACCATGGCTCAGTGGTTAGAGCGTCAGCCTTCAGACTGAAGGGTCAAGGATTCGATTCTAGTCAAGGGCATGGACCTGGGCTGTGGGTTCGTTCCCTGGTCCCGGTCCGGGCAGGTGCGGGAGGCAACCAATTGATGTGTCTCTCTCACATCAATGTTTCTCTCTCTCTCTCCCCGCTCCCTCCCTTCCACTCTCTCTAAAAAATCAGTGGAAAAAATATCCTTGGGAAGGATTAACAAAGAAAAGTGCAGCCCTGGCCAGTACGCTCAGCTGGCTGGAGCACTGTCCCGCACACCAAATGGGGGCAGGTTCAATTCCCAGGCAGGGCACATACCCAGGATGAAGGTTTGACCCCCAGTCAGGGTGCATTGGGAGGCAACTGCTCAATATTTCTATCATCAATGTTTCTCCCTTCCCCTCGCTAAAAATCAATTTTTTAAAAAAGGTGCAAACCTTTCTGCAGATATAGTAAAAAAAAAAAATTAAGGGAAAAGTGAAAACAACAGGTAAATTCCATCGATATTCCCTAGAAGATTTTAGACAGTTACAGGAAAATCAAATATCAGAAGCAGGACACTTCTTTAAAAAAGCACTAACGCGTGTTTCGCATCTTTTTCTCTGGAATGCCCTTCCACTCCTTCAAAGTCTTCAGTATTTCAGGTGTTTTAGGTCGTTTCCCGGGTTCTTTTGCAAGTAATTTCTGTAGAAGAATTTTCTGTAATGATAGAAAGATATTATGAAGAAATAAAACATTGAAGAAAATAAAATTCCAATTATTTTCAAGTGCTTACTTCTCTGTCATCAAATATATCTGAGAAACGGCCATTCCTGAGATCTTCAAAAATCTGAAAATAAAACATATATATATATTCATTAGGAAATTTCTCACTTGGGAAGAAAAACAAACTTAGGAAGCACTGAAGCCTGGAGATACCCTAAATCTAGGATATTTCCGATCTTTGGAAAGTCTCTTTAGCCAAGAAGCAAGCAGGACTCCCCTCGCCCCTCACCGCATCTAATATTAAAACATGTTGAAGTTTTAAGAGCATCGTGCGCCTTATCTCCCTTCATCCTTTGGGAACCCAGGTAGTTTCACTACCCCTGTTTTACAGAGGAGACGGCTGTTGACTCCAGGCGAGTCCCCTTCACTGAGCTTCAGACCAGGCTCTCCAGCTGCCCGATGCGTGCGGTGGCTTCCCACCGCCTTCGCAACGAAGTCCACACTCTTGCCTTAATTTAGCCCCAATGTGTCTTTCCAACCCCATCAACCACCACTTCCTTGTAACTTATACACTCCAGTAAAAACATCAGACTCTGTCTAATATCCCCAAACACACTCTGCACACTCCTGTCTCCATGCCAGAATCGCCTTTTTCTATTTTGATTCATCGGTCGACGCTCAACCACTGGGCAACACCGGCTGGGCTCCACCTTCTTTCTGTTTTTGGCTATTAGAAGCCAGCCAATCCTTCGGAGCCCAGCTTCAACACCTCAGTGAAACCTAAATCCCTACAGCTAGGAAGATCTCCTCCTAGCTGCTTCCCAAAGACTTCATGCCTCCTCCCAAAACATCGACAGCATTTTCTCGGTACTTTCCCTTCTAGAATATAAGCTCCTGAGAACAAGGCTTATTCCTTGTAGCACTTAGCACAGTGTCATACGCCACTCAGGCAATCCAAATTTTACTTACTGATTCAAATGGGAATAAATAGCTGTGGTTTTATGAGATGCACACACCTTTCCAAAAACCCCAAAGTTTTTGGTCTTTAACAAGTAGGTTTTTGTTTATTTCTTTGTTTTAATTTTTCAGTTACAGTTGAAACTCAATATTCAATCTCCACACAGCTTTTGCTTTATATCCTTAGTTACAGAAGTTCTGCTCAGCTAGTCCTTAGGTGGTTCTCAAGGGTGGCTGTTCTATCATTTAGTTGTCATTTTGATGTAGCGGTGGAAGGAGGTGAGCACAGTGTTTACCGACTCCGCCACTTGATCAGAACTTCTAACAAAAAGTTTTACTTGCCCAAACATGAAATAAATAAAAGGCATATTTCATCTGCAGTCAGCACTAATAGGTTCAAGCCCATCCCTTACGTGAGGGTGGTAACTGTCTGCAGCAGCACTTTGAAGATGATGGTCAATAATTTTTGGTGCTAAATTCTTTCCGAAATTATTTACCTTCACTGTTTCCACACGAGTGCAAGTTATATAAAGAAGTTCTGCAAGAATTAGCCCCAAAGCAAAGATGTCCACTTCGTTTCCATATTCTGGTGAAGACTGGAGCTACAGAGACCAAAATATATTTACATTTTTTATTCACCCAACATAAACATCCACACCTTCTGAAGCCAAAAAAAGTTATTTGGCCAAAACATACTATATAACAGTGCACGTCTGTTAACAAGATCTGTAGAGTCTGACTGCCCAAGTTCAAATCTTTGTCACTAAGTAGCTGAATCACCTGTGCAAATTAACCATCACCATGGGGACGACCTCAATCATAAACTGGGAGAACAAGAGTTTCAACCTCAGAGTTTGATTGTGGGGTTAAATAAGATGTGGCAGCTGAAACAGTTAAAATAGTTCCTAGTAAGCAACTTGCATGAAAATGTTCCTAGGAGATTTATTCATAATATTCCATAACTGGAAGCAATCCAAATGTCCATCAACAGGAGAATGCATAAACAAATTGTGGTTATACAGGAATACCCAGTTTTACTGCATTTTTAAAAACTAGATCAGAAATCCACTCAGAAACACTCTATTGTGATGTGGGGTAGCGGATGATATTGTTTTCCCAAGAGGCTAATAAACTTCAATTTATTTAGAAAATGCTCTCTCCTGGTTTCTTTTCTTTTCTCTCCCCCATTATTGCCTCGCCAAGTACTAGACTGTTACATGAACTCAGTGGATAAAGCAGTGGCAGGGTGGGAGAGAACTGACTCCAGTTTTGAAAGAAATTACACTGTGGGTAAAATGCTATCAAACAGCACCGCGTGCTAGAAATCATTCGTGAAAGGAAAAGTTAATTGATGCGGCACGCTTCACTGTTGCCTTATTGTAAGAAACTGCCACGGCCACTCCAACCCTCGGCAACCACCACACTCATCGGCCCCAGGCGTCAACATCAAGGCAAGGCCCTCCATCAGCAAAAAGGTTCCACTTCCCTGAAGGCCCAGGTAACCGTTAGCCATTTTAGCAACAAAGTATTCTTTAATGAAGGTAGTAGTTGTTTATTTAGACACAATGCTATTGCACACGGACAGGCTACAATAAGTGTAAACAGCTTTTATATGTACTAGGAAACCAAAGAATTCACGTGACTTGCTTTACTGCGATGCTCGCTTTATTGCAATGATTGGAACCCAACCCACAATATCGCAGAGGTAGGCCTGATTTTTTAAAAAGTCACTTTGGGGCAAGATACTCCTCATTCATCACACTGGCCCACACTGCAGTCAGTGTGAGGGAGGAAGCGGCATTCTCCCACACCCAGGAGAGTGCAGTAGAATCCTTTTTAAATGACAGTTTCACAGTTTATCAAGTTTGAAATGCACCTGTTACCCTATCCAATAATTTCACTTCAAGGAATCTATCATAGATTATCCTGGAAATATTTGTTCTTAGGATCAAAGATAAGGAGGAAGACATAGAACATGTCTATAAATGTAAAAGGTTATAGACATGTAAGTGTCGATAAACCTAAATCAATACCCATCAATACGGAAAGAGTTAAATTATGGTACAGCTCTGCTTTGGCATACAGAATAGTTATTAAAAGGATGTGTCAGATCTTATACTGATATGGAAAAATTATGATATGTGGTTGAGTGAAAAAAAAATCAAGTCACAAAAGGTCATCATAGTATTCCAGTAAAAGTGTATGTATGTCCATTTTCTGTGTAAAAGTCTGTGCAACCCGGCCAGCGTGGCTCAGCGGTTGAGCATCGACCTGTGATCCAGGAGATCAAGGCTCGGTCCCCAGGCAGGGGTGTGCAGGAGGCAGCCGATCAATGACGCTCTCATCATTGGTGTTTCCCTCTCTCTCTCCCTTCCTCTCTCTGAAATCAGTAAAATATATATTTTTAGAAGTCTGTGTAAATATATATTTGTGTTTGTATATTTTTAGAACTTACAGACAATGATCTAAAAGGTCAGACAACAAACTGTAGTTAGCAGAGTTAAAAATAAAAAGGAAGGTTAAGGGGAGTTTTCCATTTTTATTCTATATACTTTGTACTATTTTAATTTTATCAGAGGTGTCTATTATTTTTATAATTTCTTTAAAATGAAAGAAATAAAAAAACAGAGATAGAAAAGAAAGGAAGGGGACCTCACCTGTTCCGGGCTCATGTATAGTGGAGTTCCCTGGTCCTCTGTCCGCTTTTCACTATGTTTCTGGAATGTTACAAGTCCAAAGTCTCCAATCTTTATTTGTTTTCCATCTACTAAAAATATGTTACTTGGCTACAGAAAAAGAAAACAATATTTAATTTATAAGTTCCAATTTGACAGAATGGCATCACATATCCAAATCATATTTAGCCATGACTATTTTTATATTTACTAACAGGGGTGCACAAAAGTAGGGTTACAGTTAGTTGCTCATGTGGAAAATAATACAATAATTAATAAGCCCAGCTGGCATGGCTCAATGGTTGAGCGTCGACCTATGAGCCAGGAGGTCACGGTTCAATTCCCTCCCGGTCAGGGCACATGCCCAGGTTGGGAGCTCAATCCCCAGTAGGGGGGGCATGCAGGAGGCAGCCAATCGATGATGTTTCACTCTCTCTATCCCTCTCCCTTCCTCTCTCTCTAAAAATCAATAAAAAAGTGATATTAAAAAATAGTAAATAATAGTACAATAAACTGTTTTGTGTACTCACAACTGTAAACCTACTTTTGCCCACCCTTGTATAAGGCATTTACCCTTACACAGGTAGCCAAAAATAGAAACTTTAATATTAATCACAGGTCTTTAAAATGCCAGCTGAGGAAGTCAGGACTTCTCTGTCAGCAGAGAAGGCTTGGGGCAGAGTTGCCTTCAAATTTCTGAAGAGCTGTTCAGTGGAAGGTGGATTCACTCTGCATGGTCCCATGGATAAATCCAGAACTAGGAGGTGGAAACGACCAAAAGATCTGCTTTAACGAAATCGAAATATACTAATAGTGTAACATAATATATTAATAGTGTGCTTCAAATAATGGGAATTTAAGAGTTCCCTATCCCAGGAAGTATTCAAGAGGTAACTGGTGGAAATGTTGAAATATGAGTCCAGGATTCGGTGGGGATTGAAGTAGGTGCCCTAAAGACCCCTTCCAACTTTGAGATTCTCGGAATGGCTCTCTACCCAGGGATGCTGCAGGACATCTTATGCAGAACTTCTTGCGGGAGCTTCCTTGAGGTCAATTTCTCTGGGCCTCTGACATCTTCTTCAAAAACATATTCCCTCTTGCCCCGGCCAGCATGCTCAGTGGTTAGAGCATCGGCCTGTGCATTGTAGGGTCACAGGTTCAATTCTTGGTCAAAGGCACGTACCCAGGTTACAGGGTCAATCCCCACCCTCAGTTGGGGCATGCAAGGGAGGCAACCAATAGATGTGTTTCTCTCACATCATTTTCTCTCTCCTCTCTCTCTCTCCCCCTACCCGCTCCCTTCCACTCTCTCTAAAAACCAATGAAAAAAATATCCTCACTCCTTGGGTGGGGATTAAAAACAAAACAAAACTATACCCCCTCTATCCTTGAAGGGTACCAAGTTAACTGGAAGCTGATAATTTGCACTGAAGTGTTTTCTCCATGTAATTCTTTGAACAGATCAAAAAAAATAAAAGAACAAAATGAGGGGTGTTCATTCTGTTCCACAAATTTGTAGGAGGTATTGACCAATATTCTAAAGACCATGAAAACATGGTTATTGATGAGGAAATTAATATTTTGTCATTGTTGAAAAGGCTAGACTTTCAACACAATGTTAGACTGTACAGTCACATACAGACCTCATGAGCCAAAACTTAGGAGAGGGCCCAGCAAAGGAACTGAGAGGGAAGAGACATCAGCCCAGGGCAGCTGAAAGGGGAGCTTCCCAGAAAGGTCCACACAGAAGTTAGCAGTTGGATTGGAACAAGGAACAGTGAGATTGGAACCTAAGGCCTGGGATGGGAGGCGAATGAAAATGGGGGGAGGGGGGAAAGGAGGTCATCTGTAATACTTTCCAACAATAAAGATAAATTTTAAAAAATGAATGCAGATGGAAAGCTGAACATGTGCGTAGGGTGGATGTAGAGAGAAAATGTGCCAATGCTAATTCAAGTTACAGCGCAGGAACATGTTGGGATTGCAAGGACAACTGCTAGTCCCACACAAGGCTATAACCTGACTCTGAGAAACAGGTTACATTTACGATGGTATGTAAACATATAAGCTGGATAGGACTGTCTAGTAAAAATATCAGATTGCTTATTTATTGTTCGTTAAAAAGAAAAAGAAAAACAATAATGCCACAATTTGTCTAATTTAGTTATGGTATGATTCCCACAAAATGTTGGGTTGTAGAGCACTAAAAAGGTGCCCATTTTATATAGAAGGTACAGGAATAAGGGCTGATGCTCAGGCTGAAGACAGATGACGGAAGAGCCTGGGCCTAAGGGGACTCAACCTCCAAGCACAGTAAGCCCTCACTCCGGAAATTTCTATGTCCCTTCCCCACTGCCTTTGGTCTAGTTCTTAAGGTTCCAAAAGAAAGTGGTAAACACTGGTAGACTTCATATAAGAGGAGCTTTACTGGATAAAGATCATTCTCTGACAAAGCCACCTGCAGCTGGTGTTTTGCAAGGCACCACCAAAAAAAGTGCACGCCTTCGTTTGCACCCTGTCTCAGAAGCAAAACAGCAGCGACTGTTGTAGTGAAGCTAGAACAGTTGTAGAAGAGGAAAGAAGGCTCAGCAGTATTCAAGTCTGACCTTTGAGCAACTGCAGGGATAGGGCCATCTCTGCAAAGAGACATAAGAAAAGATCAGTCTACCACCTGGGGCACAGGCACTGTGGGACACGGGAGAGGTGTAGGAGAAGGCAGACTCCAATCAGCACACTATCCTGAGGAGGGTATGGGAGTTAATGCCCATACTTTGGTATTTTCTTAAAAATTACTGTATAAATGGCCCTAGCCGATTTGGCTCAGTGGTTAGAGCATCGGCTTGTGGACTGAAGGGTCTTGGGTTTGATTCTGACCAAGGGCACATACCTTGGTTGCAGGCTCAGGCCCCAGCCCGGGTCGGGGCACGTGCAGGAGGCAACCCATCGATGTCTCTCTCTCACATCGATGTTTCTCTCTCTCTCCCTCCCTTCCACTTTCTCTGAAAAGCAATGGTAAAAATATCCTTGGGTGAGGATTTAAAAAAAAAATTACTGCATAAATAGATAATTGTGCTTGCTTTCTCATTGAACTCTATGTATGATTTATTCCAAAGCGAAGGTATAGCCAATTCTAAATATATCCTTTTGAACACAGTCCTTATTAGGCCCCAACTTCAAAGAACACCTTTGGAGATTGTTAGAGAGTGATNGAAAAAATCCTTGGGTGAGGATTTAAAAAAAAATTACTGCATAAATAGATAATTGTGCTTGCTTTCTCATTGAACTCTATGTATGATTTATTCCAAAGCGAAGGTATAGCCAATTCTAAATATNTAAAAATATCCTTGGGTGAGGATTTAAAAAAAAAATTACTGCATAAATAGATAATTGTGCTTGCTTTCTCATTGAACTCTATGTATGATTTATTCCAAAGCGAAGGTATAGCCAATTCTAAATATATCCTTTTGAACACAGTCCTTATTAGGCCCCAACTTCAAAGAACACCTTTGGAGATTGTTAGAGAGTGATACTGGAGCCAGGTGGACTCCAACATGAAGGCATCAGATACTCAGCCCCTGGACAGACCAAGGATGCATATCATTTAAGGGTTACTTATTCCTATGAAGGTCCAACAAACAACTATCTGCGTAAGTGCTTGTGTTACTCAAGGAACCTTTCGCTTTATTCTTCATTCCTGGATGTTTTAGATAGATGGGCTAAGCAGATAGCCACGATCCATACACACAAGGCGCTTCTGCCTGATGCAGAGCGATCTGGAACAGCTACATAAAGGAACTGGGACCACGGGGGCAGGCCAAAGAGTGTCCTGTGCAAGAATATGAGCAAAGGCTCAGCAACAGGCTTCAGCATGGCTAGTCTGTGATGCGAGCAGGCAAATCACAGGGCATAGAGTATAGAGGAGAGACTGAAAAGCTGGTCTGTCTCTCTTCTTTCATTTTGATGAGATGGGAAAGCTGCTCATCTAAACCATGTAGGATGCTAGAAAGACAGGAAAAAATGAAAATACAAAGGTTTGCTACATGTTCCAAGGTTTGGATTATTGCAATTTTCCAATCACGGGGCAGAGGTGTACAAATGCCAAGAAAATTCTAGACTTTGGACCTAGCAGTGGTGACTGCCCTCGAGAGTAAAGGCTGAAGGAGCAGGAGAACCCATGTTCCTCCCAAAGCTACAGTCACCAAAGTCCCTCTGCCTCTCAGACAAGCCCGAGTAGCAGTAGAGGCAGGGACAGAGCAGCCAGCTGGCTGTGCCAGCCACAATAATTATTTGCATGAAAAAATGTTCATTATGCTAAAGCTACCAGTGTTTATAACTGGAGTGTGACTATCAGCCAGAGAACAACAGAAATGAATGAGCTCCTTCCAGTAGGGATCAGTGTCTTGACAAATTTACTAGCCCTAGAGAGCTTCTGAGTGGCTCTAAGGGATGGTACTTGGGAAAGGTTCTAGATCCATTCTAACTTTAGAGGACCAGGGATATTATTTCTTCATGACTGTCAACCAATTCTAAAATTTGAAGAGACAGATTTTAAAATTATTATATTTATCAGTTCCTAGCAAACCATATTTTCCACTTACCTTAAGATCTCTGTGAATTAACTTCTTTGAATGTATATAATTCACTCCTACTGCTATTTGTTCAAAAAATTCCAAAGACAGGTATTTGTTTGTTTTCTGGTTTCGTCTTTGGTCAATCCATTCTTCCAATGTCCCTTCATCGCAGAATTCCATTTGGATGAAAAGGCACTTAGTCAATCTGGATATAAAATTCAGAGAGGTACCAATAAAAATAAATTTATAAAAAAAATGCATTTCTTTCTTAAAATTATACCATCTCTTTTCCTTCTTTTTTTAAAAAAAATTCTCACCTGAGGGTATGTTCTTATTGATTTCAGAGAGAGAGGAAGGGAGAGAGAGAAACATCAATGTGAGAGAGAAAAATCGACGTACACACCCCAACTGGGGATCGAACCCACAACCTGGGCATGTGCCCTGACTGGGGATCAAACTGGCAACCTTTCAGCGCATGGGATGACACTCCAACGAACTGAGGCACACAGGCCAGGGCACACCTTCTCTTCTTAAGAAGCACAAAACATGTCTCAAAATAGAAATCTAAATAAGTAAATTTGAATCAAAATATAATAAACCATTTTTTATTTAAACCATAAGTTCCCAGATGTCCAGAACTTGATTGGCTTAGCTAATTTATAAAGTATAAGCCTGTCCATTCTTTAAAGCTGAAGGTCCTTCATCACCTTTCTAAGAGATAGGAATGGGGACATTAATACAATGGAATTGCAGAAAACCAAGTCTCATTATTATATAAAATAATTTTTAAATCTTTTAATTCACCCTGAATCTACTCAGCATCTATTTTGTAAAAGGCACAGAATGAGTTAGACACTATCCTTGCTGTCATGGGGGTGACATTTTCATAGGAGAGAGGCAAAGGAAAAACAAACCTGGCACAAGGACAGCTACTCTAAGAGAAGTGTCCACAAACTGCTATGAGATATAACTGGGAGCACTGATTTTGTTAACCATGTTTGTTTTTCTGAAGTGGGCCTCAATATTAATTTATATTCTTTGAACATATGTTGGCTAGAAATAGGTAGCCCAGAATTAGCTGAAAGCTGAAGTCCCATGTGCTGCTGGTCAAGAAGTCTTGAAACCGATGATAAGGTTCTCAATACATCAGGTAGAGACTGGGCCTGTGCCAGGAGAGAATGAATGACCAAGCCCACAATGGCCTCAGGACTGCAGTGAGAGGACCATCCCCATGAACACTGGATGACTTTCTTTCTTTTTTTTTTTTTAAATATATCTTTATTGATTTCAGAGAGAGGAAGGGAGAGGAAGAGAAAGAGAGATAGAAACATCAATGATGAGAGAGTCATTGATCAGCTGCAGCCCACAACCCAGGCATGTGCCCTGACCAGGAATCGAACCCTGATCTCCTGGATCCTAGGTCAATGATCAAACGCTGGGCCACGCCCGGCTGGGCAATACTGGATGACTTTCAAAGGAAGACGCCAGCTCTTTAGAATCCTCCAGCCCTTTGGCAGCAGCTTACATGAGATAAAACATGAGTATGCAAGGTGAGGTGCCCCCATCCCCTTAAGCTCGTGGGTCTTAAGATTATCTTCACTGCCCTGCACCCCACCATAAGCGGTGTCGTGGCATTTGAAAGAGACCCCTTGACTGCATCCTACCAACCTGGGGCATGAGAGAGGGAAAGAAAAGTGCTAGCAGCTGAGGACGAACCCTCCTCTTGCGACAGCTACCTATTCAAACTTCCTTCTCAAGTCTGCACCTACAGCCTGGACGGGGAGTCGGGGCCTGTGCGCAAGCTACGCACGAAACGACAGGTCAGGGAAGCTAAACCTGAGACTCTGAAGACGGCTGAGGACCGAAAAACCAAGATCAGAGCAAGGAAAGGAGGAAGGGAAAGAGTATTCATCGTCTCCTTACCTGCAGAATGGACACTCAATGGTGTCTCAAACAGTGTTTGTGGTTGTGATTATTAAATGTATTAATTAATTAATGGCCTTATCCCATGGCCCACATATCGACAGTTCCCTCCATCCTGTTATGTCTAAGAGGATTTCTTTGTTAGTTACCTTTTGTTGCTGTCCTCAGGATTATAATCATTTCCTTCCCAACTATTATAGTAGCGAACTATATTGGGATGATTCAGCGTCGCCAAAACTTGTACTTCACGCTCTGCCTTCCTGCTTAAAAGAAACAGAGAATATAAAGGGTGAGTATACATCCCTGATAACAACAGCAAAACATCTCCTTTATTGAACAGTCACCATGGTTCCCACAACCCGAGTTTTTGTGTGTGTGTTTTTTAATATATCCTTATTGATTTCAGAGAGAGGAAGGGAGAGGGAGAGAGAGAGAAACATCAATGATGAGTCATTGATCGTCTGCCTCCTGCACGCCCCCGACTGGGAATCAGGCCTCAACCCAGGCATGTGCCCTGACCGGGAATCAAACCCCAATTTCCCGGATCCTAGGTCGATGCTCAATGGCTTAGCCACGCCCGGCGGGACCACACCCAAGTTTTAGAATGAAAACCAGGAGCACTGAAAAGGAAAAAGTGAACGAAACATAGCTGTTTTCACTCTCAACGTAAAAGAAAAACCAGTGACTTAAATCATTCCAAACATCAGACAATTTAAATGCCAACAGTCTTTGAAATGCCAATGATAAAATTATGGTAGCTAATTCATACATTATGCCTTATTTAGACTTGTGTTGAAGTCACTTTGAATTTCAAAAATAAACCCCATTTGGGCAGCAAGGGTAGGTAACCCAGGCAGTAGGAAGAGCCTAATTCGGAATTTCCAGTGTGTGGCAAAGATACACAAAGGAGAAGATTCAGACAGAGAAATGGAGACTTTGCTGTATGTGTGGGAGCTTTACAGTGATGTGTAGTCAAGAGTGAAGACAATTCTATGCTAAATGGAATAAACAAATCTGAAATTTCAAAGATGAGAAAGGATAAGCGGACATTGTACAATTTTATTTTTTATTTTGAAAAATTCTTTATATGACGTAATTTGTAGAAGTAAGAAAAATTACTCATATATTGACAATCCTAACACAATCAGTTATTACTTGGAGTTATTTCTTATCGTTTGTATCTTAGTTGTTTTCTGGCAGTTTGTAATTACAGTATATAATTATAATAGTATATAGTATATAATTATCGTTTGTAATTACAGTATATAATATTTATTCTATTTTCTCACATTATCTTTACAATTTTCCTTATTGTTTTACAACCTGCATAACTAGCATGCATAAACTTTTTAATGTAATATTTCAAAAGTATAAAAAACTAGAGCAAAAAGTATAATGAACCCCTACCTCGCCATCACCAGATGAAACAGCTGTCAGTCTCATCTGTACTCTTACCCACTTCCTCACCTTTCCCTACATTATTCTGAGGCTGCTTCCAGCACCGTGTGACTTCCTATGTAAACACTTTCCGCATATAACCCTTATTTTTAATCACTGTAAAACAGCCACTGATCAGGGGAGAGAGCAAAACATAATTAATCATTTCTTTATTGCTGGACATTTTGTTCTTAATTTTCACTGCTATAAACGACACTGTGTTTCTATCCTCTTATACAGTTTTTTCTGTATTTGGGCAATATCCTTAGAACAGGTCCCCAGACAGAAAAGTCCATGGGTCAAAGTGTATGAACATTGTTATGGCTCTAGATTGTTATTTCCAAGTATATTTTAACTGTGTTCTACCAGTTTATGAAGCCGCTACTATGCCCCCTAATACCGCACCATGATCATCACCAAGTATTTCCTCCTGCTAAAAGAAATGGCTGTTGAATGGAAGGAACAGAAATACTGCATTCTTGTTAAGGAAAACGGTAAAGAGGGAGAAAGCCTTGTTTTGATGCCAAGAAGGTATGAAGGTATTTCAATGCCAAGGGATTGCCCTGGGACGGGAAGTAGGTTTGTTTGACTGGGATGAAGAGCACCTAGGACTCCCTGCCTGCTTCTCCTTAGCTCAGGACATTCTCCTTGGTCATATTCCTGTCCACCTCCTTCTCTAGTCCATGTCTGGCCAAGTAACACAAAGTAATAACTGCCAGAAAACAACTAAGACTGGTGAACCGGTGAACATGTGATCTAAGACCTCCTTCCTATAAGTCCGCCTTCCTGAAGGAGTTCTGCTATCCGGTAAGGGGGTATGTGTGCGCAGATAATACATGAAACAAACATGGGAGGTAATGGGTTCTAGTGGGAACACAGCGGATTGGCATTCCGGAGGAGAGGATGCGTTCTAAATCTCTACCTCGTTACCTTAATAAGTATATGCGCCCACTCCTCAGATTAAAAGGTAGAGTCTATCTGCCCTCCCCTCGAATCTGAGCTGGCCTTAGTGACTCTGTTGAACCAATATCATGTGGAACTTCCAACACTAGGTCAAAAGTAGCCTTTCCTGCTTCCTCTTGGGATGACTTGCTCTGGGGACAATTCTTCTTGGAAACCAGCCACTAAGCTGTGAGAAGCCCAGGCCACATGAAAAGGTACCAGCTGAACTGCCAGCCCACAGCCAGCATGGACGGCTCTCCATGTGGGACTGGCTTCTTGGATGTCCTGCCTAGTCAAGCCTTCAAAGACGCCTGACTGCAAATGCAAGACAGACCCCAAGTGAGAATGGCCCAGATGAATACATAGGACCATGAGAGAGAATAATAACCTGTTTTTAAGACATTACATGTTCGAATGGTGTATTATGCAATAAGAGACAACCAGAACAGTTACTATTTTCACCTTTGAAAAATCAGTTCACATCTTTGGACCCCAGTCTCATCTATAACATAAGGAGATAAGACTAGAAAATCTCAAAGGTCACCTTGAGCTAAGTGATCCTATAAGTTCAGTTTTCATCAAGACAGCCTTTAATGGTATATCCATTTTTTATTGAGATAACCACAGTAAAGGGAGATCATTTCAGAGTAAGCCACGCTCTTGATGACAGAATAACATTTTTAAGGAAGACTGGGAAAAGTAAGTAATACACTAATGAAGAAGAGCGATACGTAAAAAGGAATAGTGCAATTCGACGTACCTTCTCACTTAAAAGTAAAATAAAACATTTACTACTTACTTGTCATCGTATTTAACACGTTTAACGGCGTAAGTCTTCCCATCAAGTCTGTGTTTTGCTTTGAAAATATGGCCATATGCACCTGAGCCAATCTGTGTTATTTCTGGAAAATCCTTGAGAAACCTTAAAAGATAAATCCACTGTTATTGTGAGGTCCCATGCCAGCTGGCCCCACCCCTCCCACTCTCCCTTAAGGTCACTAGTGAAAAGGACTGTGTAACAAGCAAGACTCGCCCCTTCTGAGTACGAAGGGCCCGCGTCACAGAAACTCTTGAATCACAAAGGACAGTTCCTCCCTGACCTCCTCCCAACATAACAGATGATCTCTGGAAGTCACAGTCAACTCCTCACTCCACAACAGCCACAAGACTCTTCGCCCAAGCAGAAGACTTTAGAAAGAAGCACCATGTCGTGTTCCACAGCTACCGCCAAGCTGTTCCAAGAGAAATAAGCAGGTGCTCTGGGCCAGCCTAGGCCTGTGCGCCCCACCTTCCATCCCCAAGCCCTGCCAGTTCTACTTCTGAAACGTACCGCAGGGATCCGCCCACTTTTCCCATCTCTGACATCTTCACACCAGTCCAAGCTTCCACCAGGCTCCTGCAGGACCTTGCTAACGGGACACCCCACTTCCTCTCCCTCTCCACTTCAATCCACATCCACACAGCAACCAGTGCGATCATGTCTCTCTACTGCCTAACAGCCAAGAGCCTAAGTTTGCGTTCAGCAGAAAACAGAAAACCCTTAAATGGGCTCTATGGGGCCTGTAATTTGGCCTCTGCCTCCCTCTCCAGCCTGTCCCGACACAGCGCCCATGTGTACTGCACTTCAAGCACACAACCCTCTCTGCTCCTTGAACACTCACATCACTTGGCCCATCTTCACCTTCCCACAGGCTCACCTTCCCGCCCGCCCCAGAGCCTCCACCTCCCTGTGCTGCCTCATCTTTCAGGCCTCTGACCATAGTTTGTAATGACAGACTTTTTCATCTAATTTTCATCCCCACAAAACTCTGTGAGGGCTGGAGCTGTTGTCAATGGCCAGCACAATGCCAGCTATATATTAGGTACTTATTCAGTATCTGTTCATTCTTTGTTTTTTAAAATTTATTTCCAATGTCCTTTTGTTGCAAATCAGTCTTTTAGATTTTTTTTTAAATGCAAACACATGATCTACCACAAGAGACACCCATTTTTTAAAGCGAAATCTGGAAAACGAAAAACAGATTTAAGTGTTTCTATTCTGATTCCTGCAGGAGTATTTTTTGGGGCGGGGAGGGACTGCTGGTTTATAGGAATATTTGCTTTCAATATTAAAAACTTCCATAGATCTCAGAGAAATCCACATAAGCATCACATAGATCTACATCACACCACATTCCATTTAGATTCGTCTACACTTTACTTCTCTAAGATACAATGATTTTTTTTTTTTTTTTTAATATATCTTTATTGATTTCAGAGAGAGGAAAGAAGAGGGAGAGAGATAGAAACATCAATGATGAGAGAGTCATTGATCGAGCCCGCAAAGGGGCATGTGCCCTGACTGGGAATCGAGCCCCGACTGCCTGGATCCTAGGTCCGCGATGCTCAACCGCTGAGCCCGGCAGGGTAAGATACAATGATCTTTTGTGGGCCTGACTGTGCTAAAATAACTTACCTGTTCAGGTGGAAATATATGCAACCTGTCTGATGTATAACAGTTCCTTATGAAACTTTCATCAAATAAACATATCTTTGAGCAAATTCTGTTTTACAGTCTTCCTTACCGGATGTCCGAAGTATGCTTTCCAGGAGAGTAAAAGGTAGGGGCCAAATTTCTAAAAATTAAGAGAAGAATGTAAAATTCAAATAGAACTGAAATCAAATGTAACTTTAGAGCGGTTTTATGCCATGCACTAGGCTTTTTTTAACTTTATTTCTATTGCTGACACTATTACGGATGTCACCATTTACACTCCCATTTGCCCGCCTCCCCCCACCACTGTCCCCCCTTCCCTCTGGCCCTCACCAACTGCTGTCTGTATCTATGGGTCATGCATATAAGTTCTTTGGCTAATCTCTTCACCTTCTTTCACCCAGTCCTCCCTCCCCCCTCTCCTCTGATAGCTGTCAGTCTGTTCCATGCATCCATGCCTGTTTCTATTTCGTTTGTCAGTTTATTTTGTTCATTAGATTCCACATATAAGTGAGATCATACGGTATTTGTCTTACAATGACTGGCTTATTTCACTCAGCATAATCATCTCCAGGTCCACCTATGCTGCTGCAAATGGTAAGAGTTCCTTCTTTTTTATGGCTACACAGTATTCCACTGTGTAAATGTGCCACAGCTTTTTTATTCCGCTCACCTACTGATGGGCACTTGGGCTGTTTCCAGATCTTATTACCAGAAGTTTCTTTATATTTTGAATCGTTTGAGAGCATTTGATCTTTTTATTTCTTACCCGAGTTATTACACCATTTCTACCCTACCTGTTTATCTGCAGAATGCACTTCTCTTGAAAACATCTCTCCAAGCCCACTTCCCTGAATCAATTACTCTAGCAACATCCCCATAGGCCTTTCTGTGTGCAGTGTACTGTGTGTATACAATGATCTCTCTACGTATTTAAAATTATTTGTTTGTAGATTTGAGCTTTTTGTGATCTTTAACCATGCTCTCTAATTTTAAAACCCTACTCAAATAAGGGTGTACAATACTCTACAAATACTGAAGACTTAATAAGGCTGACAAACTAAGTCTGAAAGAAAAGTTCACTTCAAACTAAGTTCAATGCATAATGATACTCACATTTTCACCTTCTCCAGCCGTTTTCTGACACCCATCTACGACAAAAGAAAGTGAAAAACTGTTTCAGGTGATTAAATCAACTCTATTGCTTTTTACTTGTTTTTTTCCAATCCTCGCCTGAGAGTGTGTGTGTGTGTGTGTTTTATTTTTAGAGAGAGGAAGGGAGACAGAAAAAAACATCAATGTGAGACAGAAACACCGACTGGTTGCGCCCCGACTGGGGATCAAACCCACAACCTAGGTATGGGCCCTGACAAGAAATCGAACCCACCACCCTTCGGTGTAGGGGATGATACTCCACCCGATGGAGCCCCCAGCCAGGGCTCTTCTGCTTTTCCTTGCTATGCTTCCTCCTGTACTTCTAGCTGGTTCTGTGACCACATTTCTTTGTCCATAAGGTTAACAGCCTCATCAATGTTTGCACTCTTATCAAGTCTGCTTCCCAGCTTACTTGGTTATATTGACCTACTCATCTATTACAGCAACCAGACAGGCGTGGCCAGGACAAAAAAGGCAATGGTAGGGCACGTCCTGAAGCGGCTGACTGTCCAGGGAAGTATATGGCTTCCCCGCTGATCCTCTGGCCAGCAGAGCTCAGCAAGAAGGTGCGCCCCCAACCACCCACAGTGCTTAACACAGATGGAGCCCAGGGATCTAGTTGAAAATAGTTCTCCCAGGGCTATTAGATCACCAGTTAAAAACTGCAATGCTGATACTTTCATTTTTAGCACAAATTAATTTTGATATTTAGCAAAAAAGAGGAGTCTTCAATACATCTCTCAGAAGTTAATGTCACAAAGCTCTTTTCATTCATAGTCACTTTTATTCTGGCAGATTTTGTGGATTTTTTTTAACCCGTTTAAGTATAGTGATACAGAGAAGCACCAGACTAAGATTTCTTGGGTTCCTATCACCTGCCAGCCTCGGTATCGCAGGGTGACCACACGACAGAGTAATTTAGCCATTCTGTTAATGAGCAATATTTTTTTCTCATTTCTTCCTATTACAACCAATGTTGCAAAGAACATTCTTATACCTGTTTCTCTGTGCACACGTCTCTCGAAGAAGAAGATATCCCCAGAAGGGACCTCCTTGGCATTATAGCATGCACACCCTCAATTTTNTCTCGAAGAGATCCCCAGAAGGGACCTCCTTGGCATTATAGCATGCACACCCTCAATTTTACTACGTTATCAAATTGTTCTCCGAAATGGTTGTACTGATTTATACTTTCACCAGCAGGATATAATAGTTAAAACTGGAACACACTTATGTCAATACTTAGTATTGCCAGACTCAAATTTTGCCAATCTGATGGGTTTCAAGTGCATCTAAGTGTTGTTTCGATTTGCATTGTCCTGATTACTATGAAGTAAAGTATCATTTCCTATGTTTCTTGACCAGCTGGGTATCTCTCTGAATTTTCTGTACAGATCATTTGTACATTCTACTGAGTTGCTTGTCCCTTTCACATTGATCTGTAGTTCTTTATAAACAGGATACCTTTGTAACACTAATCATCACATGAAAATTACCTGATTTTTAAGTTTAGTTCTGATTTTTTTAAAAACAAAAGAATATTAATGAATGAGCTATATTAATGAATCTTTTAATTACTGTTCAGTTCGTAGAAGAAGCAAGATCACAGGAATATATGAAAATATGAAGGTTAGTAGGGAAAGATGGGAGTGACAAGTGGGAGAATTCTGCATATGAAGGGTGGGAGTTAATAAAGCAAGAGAGTCACAGGCTGCCAAATATCATTATTTAGTGAGAGCACAGGAGATAAAAATAGAAAAATTAAAGTTGATAACTGAAGGTTGTTTTAAAATAAGGATGTACAGAGGGAATTAAGACTAACTAGGAATTTTAGAGGTGAATACTATACCACAGATGAAGGAGAACTGGTAACACTGTCACTGTTAGCATTTCTTCCTGATCCACTTGCTGAAACACCATTTTCAGATGGTGATTCAGAAACACTAGAAGAAATGGGAGTAACTATTAGTTTATGAATTCTATTTTTTGTTGGTAATTCCTTTCCCTAAATTCTCCTTAAACATTAAACATTTTCATTAAAATTTGCTCTTTCAGGCAGAAATCTGAATTTCTTAAAGATCACAGTTGTCTGTACACACTTACGATATTATCGAGGAGTCGCTTCCGTAGTCACTGGACCCAGCAGGGGAAAAGGCAAGGAATCCTGAATCATCTTTCTGAAAGAAAGAGAGCCCGTGGGGGTTTCGCCACAACTAAATGACTTCTCCACAGTGGCTCAGTCTCTGTGTATCAACTGCCACATTTACCAAATTCACAGCCACAAACAATCATGAGATTAATACATGGGACGCTGGTGGGACACGGAATCGAGGAATCCTTTTGCTATGTGAATTGGCTGTTTTGACATCATGTGAGCAGTCAAACCTCAAAGCAATTTCAGGGAAAATTTTAAAATACAAAAATAAATCCAAAGGCAGTACATACCTTTGAGCTTTTTTCTAATTTTATCTGCTCATATGTACGTTTAGCAGCCAAATGTTTTGCCTTCTGCTTAGTAGTACCTACAGCATCGCCGTATTCTTTCTCTCCAATTTTGATTTTACAAGAAAATCTAGGAAAAATGATGGAGATTATTTACCTAAATACCAAAACAGTGAATCTAAGTGATGATTTGAAAAAAAAAACAACCCACAAAAACACATCGGTAAAGGCCTTAATGTGACACTAATGTAATAGGCAGATTTGTATTTCACGTCTTTGTATAATTTAAATCTTCCGTAAGATGGCTGACCAATCTGTCACAGTAACCAGGACTGGCTGACATCTCAGCTTGCATTTTTCCAGAAAACGTCTAACTCTTTGTTGCTTCATTCAAAGATCTGGCATAAAGGCATTAAAAGTGGTGATTTTTAAAAAAAAAAAAATCCCCAAAGGTCAAAAGATATGAAGGTAGAAAAATAGAAAAGAGAAGATCTGGTGAATTTTTCAGCAATGCTCAAGTGGGAAAGAAAAGGCCAGTAGAGAAAGTGAGGCTTCTACAGGAGAAACAATGAGCTTATAGTGTTTTGCAGGGAACAGGTGAAGCATGGACTTTGCTCTAACCTCAGCATTTTCTGCCCCCTGCTACCTGCACGAAATCCTAAGAAAATCACCATAGTGCAAAACCCCCATGCTGAAGTCCACTCCTCCTCATATTAATGTAAGGACATCTGTGGTTAGGCAAGGATACTTGGACAATTACATAAGAATTATTTTTAAGGTGGCAAAGCAATGCACATGATAAGAATCATGGAGTTGCTATAGATTACCAAAAAATGGTTCCTATATTATTTGCTATAGGGGGAAACACAGCCAACCAGCAGTCTTCTCCTCTCGGCCCTAAAGGAAGAATTAGGGAGCTGGGCTAAATGACCTCAATTGTTTCTACTGTTCCTGTTTTTCCCAGGCACCTCCTAGGAAGACTTCTCTCTTTTAGGAATCTAATGTTAGAGTACCTAATCCATAGGAACCAAGCAGGTGAGCTAAGGAAAAATAAAAGAATGTATTGAGACTGACCCACAGAATTCACTTCTGACTATTTCCTTCCAAGGAAGATCATCACGTTTTTCTCTCCTTCATCTGGCCTAACAGCCATCAGAGTAAAAATTCCAACGTAAATAGCTCCGTCAATTCAGAGAACAGTATCCTAAAGTGACTGTTTGGACAATTTGCATTTAGATTGTTTTTCCTCCCTCAATAAATGGACTGGTTATAGCTGAGAAACAATCTCCCTCACGCTCATGGTTTTGTTTTCCTCATTTCCGATCCATGACTTATCCTCACTTCCAAGTCCTAGCTCACCGGTGGCATTCTCAGCAACTGAAACTCTAATCTGTCAAATTCCCCATCATACTCCTCAAATCCTGGTCTCCTCACAGTCTAGGGAGAAATACCACTCATACTAATGCACAGTATCTATCTGCAGAGTGATACCGTTTAATCAAATCTGAAAGATGAACCCTTGGACAGACAGCTCCCTATAACCTGACATGCTGGAAACCGAGTCATTCTACACACGTGGCAGAGCTGTCTTCACACAGCCACTTCTCACCATGCAGGGCTGGAAAGATCTCTGCATCCTTCAAGCAGGGCACCTCACACTCTCTTAGGTGTCCTGCAGATTAAACTATCCAGACAGGCCTCAGAAATAAAGAATTACCCAGAGTTGATCAATTATAATATATGAGTTCCAAGCCTTCGGCAATGAAGCATTTTAATATTTTAAGTACAAAGATGTCCAATTGTCTGAAAGTCCTATAAAACTTTCCATGCAGATGTACAAAAAAGAAACATTTCTTGAAAATTAGACATAGAAATAAGTCCATTCTATTGCTCACATACATTGAAGCAGAAGGAAAAAGCCAACTACATCTCACCTTTCGGGCCCACTTGTGCAAACTTCACGTTGTTCATAATTTATAGACACTCTTTCCTTTTGGGCAATACTATTAAGATAACCTATGTAATTAAAATCTGAAGTATCGATTGTCGACAGTGATGATGAACTAACATCCTGCAAAGAAAAAAATCTTGTTTAATATGGATGAGAACAAAGATTTGACTCTTTATTTTTCTCATAAAATTACTAAATGAGCCATCTAAAAGACAACTTAGATTTTACATATTCCCCTACTACTATATTACTTTGAATCAAAGTGTAAGCATATACCTTCCTCTACCAGAAAAATCCCACTAGAATAAATTTTAACAATAGGAAAGGAACCATCCATTTTCCCTTTATAGTTTGATAAGGGAAAACAAGTCCATTTTCTGTTTTTCCATGCAAAATACTATAATCCTTTCTAGCCTGCTGTACCCTCAAAAAAACAAGATAACAAATATTAAACTAAAGCTATATCCTGGATGACAATTTACTGGGAAAGATGAACATAATAGTGTCAGTCCTTCCACCACTCTCTGCATCTTCTTTTATTCTTAATCTGATAAAATATCTAAAGTTTTACAACTTTATTAGTCTTGTTTAAACAACTAACTTTGGGTTCTACTGATTGTCTTTATTATTTCTTTGTTTTCTTTTACATTAATTTCTGCTCTAATCTTTGTTACATTCTTTCTTCTGCTTTTTGGGAGGAAAATAATATAGTCACATTTTTGTTCTTTTTCTAACTTCTTGACTTGGTTTTCTTGCTCATTAACAATTTATGAATTCATGACTTTATTTTTCAACTGCAGCTAGAAGGGAACATCTTCAAGTAAGATTTTTCAGGAAAGTATCTTGAAAGCTAAATTTTACCAAAAGTTTCAATATCTGAGAATGATCATCTTCTGTCCCACATATAAATGACTTCTTGTCTCATTTTATAGCCGCTGTTCCCCTACGTCCTGGTTGTCAATGTTGCTTTTTGTTTTCATTTTTACATTTTACATAGTTTTTTTCTTCTGCCTACATGCTTAAGGATCCTTTGCTCATCACTAGAACGCAGGACTTTCACAATGACTGAAGTTGCTCTTGGTGGTTCTGTGTTTTCCTGTATCTGTTGAGCTGTTTTAATCTTCACCCAGTTCTTTGTTTCAGAAATATTTGCTACTGAAATCTTTTCAGATAGCTTTTTCTGTACTGGTTACTCTGTTCTCATCTTCAGGGATGCCAGTTATATGTATGTTGGTTCTCCATTACCTGCCCTCCATACACATCCCTCTCCTCACAATCCCTTCATCTCTGTCGTTTTCCACAGATTCCCTCAATTAGGTGGAGGGACTCCTGCCAGCACCTGTCAGTTCATTTCTCACTGTTTCCTTTCCACATCTGTTCAGCTTTAGAGGATGTCACTGCTACTGGCACTCTGAACAGGTATTATATAGCTTTGCCCGCTATTTTCTAGGTATACCTCTCATTCTGGGTTCTACAGAAATGGAGACAGGAAAAAAGACTGAACTTATGAATGTAAGGGAACTTTCCAATGGATTTATTTTGTATGTTGGTATTGTCTCACAGAGAAAAATATAAACTATATTGTGAGTCCCTTTTAACTAGGGGGGAAAAAGACAATTACTCACCTGTTTTTCTTTATTAAGTATTTCAAGAGCTAATTTGGCTGCAGCATTTTTTGCTTCCTTCTTTGGTTTGCCTTCAGCTTCTGGAAATTCTCTCCCGTCTATTATAACCTTAATCGTAAACCTGATTGCAAAGAAAATATTCACAAAATATTATTAAACTCATGCATTATCTAGAGACAAGTATTCCAATCGCCACTGCCTCTTCTGTCTACCCTTGAAGGTTCTGACTCATGTTCAATATAGAATTTAAGTAGTCACCTCCAAACAGCATAATAGCGCATCGTCTTGAAGCATGGGAAAGCTTTTACCCTCTTTTTCCTCCCGAGTCCTCTGAAGTCATAATTTCATACCAAAAGGACTCTCTCCCAGAAGTCTGTGGCAACTTTGCCCTAAAGTACTGACTTCAACCCTGGCCGGTCTGACTCAATGCTCAGAGCGTCGGCCCTCGGACTGAAGGTTCCTGGGTTCGATTCCAGCCAAGGGCACGTACCTGGTTGCAGGCTCAATCCCCAGCCTGGTCGGGGCGTGTGCGGGAGGCAACCAATCGATGTGTCTCTCTCACATCAATGTTTTTCTCTCCCTTCCACTCTCTCTGAAAGCAATGGAAAAATATCCTTAAGTGAGGATTAAAAAAAAAAAAAAAGTATTGACTTCAAAATTGTGCCAGAGTTGCCATTACTCTAGTTTATATTTTATAGGTATATATCCTTTTTCTAAATAGCATCTTACCTTAAGTCATGTGGAGGTCCTGTCTTAGACACTTCATGATAGTTAACATCTACGTTGTTTTTCTGACAGTATTTATTAAGTTCTCCTATGAAAAAACCTAATGAAAGATCGTCGGCCATTTCTTCTTCCAGTAACCTACAATACAAGTGATGTTTGAAAGAAGTGACACTCACAGAACATATTTAATTGGATTTTCCCAATCCAGTTTAGAATGCAAAATGGAGTAAGAATTTACTTTATATGACTCATCTCAGCAATACATAAATCCAGAGAAAACTTTCTTTAAAAATCTTTCTCTCTCTCTCATAGGCTGCACAATCAAGCTAATTTTTCCAAAATTTTCTACTTTTAAAACTCAACTGGCCAAGAAAGGAAGGGGTCTATCTCTTTAAGGCTGGTCTCTGCTTTCACTGAGTTTGTCCACCTGCTTGAGAAGGTAAAAAGGCCGCAGAAGTAGAATTGGAATTCTTTATGTTGAGAAGAAAAAGGTTGAGGTTATATATAGAAAGTGATGTTTATGAAACCATGAAGGATTTAGCTCTATGAAAATAGTCTCCTATGAAATCCCCAAAATCCTTCCTTTCAAATTTGCACAAATCAATGTTAGGACAATTTACCGAGGTAAATTATGACCCCAGTTTATGGGTCACACTGGACTAATTCAGTAACAATGATTTAAATAATGAACAAAATCTAAAGGACGTAGAACCTAAGTATAAGAGCCAAAACTATAAAATTCTTAGAAGAAACCATAAGGGCAAATCTTCCTAACCGTGGATTTGGCAATGGAATCTTTGCCATGACGACAAAAGCACAAGCAACAAAAGAAAAGATAAATTAGACTTCCTCAAAATTAAAAACGTTTGTGTTCCAAAGGACACGATGACAAAAATAAAAAGACAACCTACAGAATGCGATATTTATAAATCATACATGTGATGCGGGTCTAGTATCCAGCATATATAAAGAACTCCAAACTCAACAAAGACAACCCAATTAAGAAGGAGGCAAAGGACTGGAACGACATTTCTCTAAAGAAGACATACAGATTTCCAACAAGCACATAAAAAGATGCTCAACGTCATTAGTCATTAGAGAAATGCAAATCAAAACCACAACTAGATACCACTTCATACCCACCAGAAGGACAATAACAGTAATAGTAACAGAGAAAATAAGTGTTGATGAGGGTGCAGAGAAACTGGGACCTTCCTATGTTGCTGATGGGAGTACAAAATGGTGCCGCTTCTATGGAAAATAATTTGGTATTTCCTCACAAAGCTAAGCTTAGAATTACCATATGGCCCAGCAACTCCACGCCTAGGCTTATCCCCAAAGAACTGAAAAACAGGTTTTCAAACAAATACTTACATAGGAATGTTCACAGCAGCACTGCTCACAGCAGCCAGAAAGTGGGAACAAACCAACCATCCATCAAACATGGTATATTCACACATGAAAACTTCAACCATAAAAAGGAATGAAGTGTAGAAACATGCTACAACATAGACAAACCTTGAAAACATGATGAAGGAAAGAAGCTAGACACAAAAGGCCACATATTGTATGATTCCATTTCTATGAAACATCCAGAATAGATAAATCCACAGAGACAGAAAGCAGACCTTGTTGACCACTCATTTCTTGTGGGAAAGCTCTTTAGATTTTCCTTCTTCAATGGTCAAGCATCTTCCTAACACCTACTTAACCTTCACAGGCTCTAAGTGCTGGAGTTCCCCCAAGGCTTGGTCCAAAGACCCTATTCCGTTTATACTTTCTCCTCAAGGTGATTTCTCCCGTGTCCATGATTTCAATGATTATTTGTCATTAACTCTAAAATTTACATATAAACTTATGGGCCTCTCTCTGAGTTTCAGGTCTCTCTATCCAACATCTCCCCTTGAATGTCTTGAAAGAACTTTTTTTTAACTTTTATTATTTATTTATTTATTAATATGTCTTTATTGATTTCAGAGAGAAAGGGAGAGGGAGAGAGAGAGAAACATCAGTGATGACAGAGTCAATGATCGGCTGCCTCCTGCACACGCCCTACTGAGGATAGAGCCCGCAACCCAGGCATGTGCCCGGACCGGGAATTGAACCTCCATCTCCTGGATCCTAGGTCAATGCTCAACCGCTGAGCCAAGCTGGCCGAGCTTGAAAGAATTTTAAACGCAAAAGATCCAAAACTGCATTTATGATCTTCCCTTAAGCTGGTTTGGAATTTCCTGTCTCAAAAAAATGACTCCACTATCCATCCATGTCTGAAAGCCATGAATCTGGGAGGCATAGTTGATATTTCCTTTCCCTACTTTCTTATCCATAACAAAGTTCTGACCCACAGATCCTTCTACTTCTCGATGATGTCACAGCCACTATTCTGGTCCAAGCCACTCCTGGGCTGCTGCAAGAACCTCAGATCCAGTTCCTCACAGCCACTGAAATTCCTTCTCTGCCCTGCAGTCACTGTGATTTTCTTTTTATTTATTTTTCTTCACTGTGATAAAATACACATAACATGAAATTTACCCTTTTAACCGTTTTTAAGTCTACAATCCACAGGCATTAAGCACATTCACAATGTTGTACAGCCATCACTGTCATCTATCACCAGAACTCTCTTCATCTTCCCAAACAGAAAGTCTGTACACCTTGAATAACTTCCCAATTCACTGTCCTCTCACCCCCTGTTAACCAGCAATACTTTCCATCTCTCTGAATTTATCTACTCTAGGTACCACATATAAGTGGAAGCATACAACTTTTGTATTTTGGTGCCTGGTTATTTCAGTTAGCGTAACATCTTCGAGGTTCATCCATATTGTAGCATGTGTCAAAATGCCCTTCCTTTCCAAGGCTGACTGCTATCTGGCCATGTGTACACACACTACCACATTCTGTTGACCCATTCATCAGTTGATGGGCACTTGTGTCATTTCAACGTTTCGGCTAGTGTGAATAATACTGCTACGAGCATCGGTGTACAAATACCTGTTCAAGTCCCTATTTTCAGGTACTTTGGTTATCTACCTAGAAGTGGAATTGCTAAATCATATGGTAATTCTGTTTAACATTTTGAGGAATCACCAAATTGCTTTTCACAGCAGCTGCACCAAATTATATTTCCACCAGTAAGAAATGAGTGAGAGGCATGGTCAGGGATGCAGGTGTTGTTCCAACTGTAATAGGAAGCTTTTGGGGGGTTCTAAGCGGAGGGGTGATGTGATTGCATTTATGTTTTAAATGATCACTCTGATGCTATGCAGAGAACAGAGTAGGGGGGCTGGGCATGGAAAGGGGAGCGGAGCATGAGTAGACGTTGGGAGACCATGTAGAGACTGCGGGGCCCTGGTTTGGGTGAGCAATGGCAGTGGCTGGAAGCAGGGTGCTGGAAATTCCTAGATCTGAGCAAAGGCAACACCTTCATATTACTGCCTAGTGCGGCGGAGAGAGTTGGGCTTTAGAGCCACGGAGATCTGAGTCGGACACGTCTCTGAACCTCTGATTCATAACCTGGAAACACCTGATTCACAGGTTGTTGTGGGGGTAAATCAGGCAAAAAGCATCCAGCAGAGTCCCCCACACCGTTTATTGTGGTCCTCAATAAACGGTGCTTCTGGTCTGCAATTTCAACCCTACCTCCCAAAATGCACTGAAAATTGAGATTCATTTTGTTTTCATTTGTTCTGGGTTTGGTAGATTTGCAGCCCCCTGTCTAGACCTAAATTGACATGAGCCACTTAAGAGTCTTTATCATACTTCGTTGCCTACTTATCATGTGACTGCAGAAATATGCTCTATTGCAGAGTGCTGTCCCCAAATCCTGCTGAGAGCGGCATCGTAGGCAGGGTTTATCTGCACCGCCCTTCTAAAGCCCGAAATCTCTGAATTTAGTCAGAACACACCTGGCCCAAGGTTTCAGAATAAGGATCTGCACATACCATTATTTTCAGGACCCCAGGTGTGTTTAGTTTAGTCACAACCGCGAAACCATACATCAAGTCGGAGGGGGTGGAGGCCTCAGAACAGCAGTCAGGGAAGAGCCCTTATGATGACCTAACCAGGAACCCTAACAAATGCTCTAAGTCCTCAGCGCTTTACAAGTCACTGCTCATCCTTAGAGTGACAAGCCAGCCCGAATTTAAGTGAAATATATGTGCAAACTTATAAGGCGCTGAACTGACATGTTTGAAAAAGTACTTACAAGTTTGGGTGGGGGGGAAGAAACAGCAAGTTTCCTTTTAACTGTTTTTAATAAATCTTGTTTTACTACCTGTTAGCACCTTCTTAAAAGAAACCGCTACCATAACCACGAACAGCTGTTACACGCCCATCTTCCTGACTGTACCCAGACGCGGCCGGCTGCGCCTCGGAGCAGCGCCCC